GTTTGGGGAGTAGAAGTGTATTAGGCTGCATTCACACCTCTATTTTAGGTGCAATTAGGGATTTCTGCATCAGGAACTTGCGTTTTCCTGCAACAGAAATCCCTAAATTGGCGTTTTACAAATGGCAGCTGTCACCTAAGTTAATGATCAGGTGACAGAAGTTGCATGTAAACGCCTGCACACCGCATGTAAAGATACGTGATATGTTTACATTCCGCTAGGAATCAATCACTCTCCCTGGACGCATGTAATCATATCACGTATCATTACATGCGGTGTGCATGCGTTTACATGGAGCTGCTGTCACCTGATCATTAACTTGACTAGGTGACAGCTGTCACTTGAAAACGCCAGATTAGGGATTTCTGCTGCAGTCTGAGCAGTCTCCAATAAAGTTTCTTGTGGATGTTTTCAAGGCTAGTTATTACTTAAATTATTATTAAAACCAGTAGCAACTGAATGCAGAGGCAACTATTTATGATAATAAAGAGTAGATGCATAGTCCTATACAACCGGCCCTTTGAGGGTAACCATACTGCTGATGCGGCCCCCGATGAATTTGAGTTTGCCACCCCTGCTTTAGGTTATCGTTGAACACCTATTTTCCATGAGTCATAATTAATAATTAAACAAATTATACCACACATATAATACATACACACTGATACACTTTATACCAGTTTGGGTATAGGTATTTTTTCCTGATTTGAACAAGTTGTAATTCATAATTTTGAAAACAAATTAGATAAATCATATCACGTATATAACCCACTACAGAGACGTGTTACCGATTCCCAAGTGGGTATAGGTATTTTACTGCAAGATTACAGATATCACTTGGTTTGTAAGTAGGCAGGTTGTTTCAGGAACAAGGAACTTACATAGGCATTGCATTTGAAACTGCAACATCTTCATAGGCTTCAGAGCTAGGCACATCCACAGACATTCTAGAAGGTAAGACCAAAGGACCTTTTTCTTCCGCTCTCCTTGCCGTTTCCTTTTCTAGAACTTCCTTTAGCCTAATAAGTTGTCCAGGTAACAAAGTCAACCAGCTTGGAACAGATTGCTAAAAACAAAAAGGAACATATATTCAAACTCAAGGTATTCAAACCTGCACCTGTGCTTTATTCATAAACATAATGCTGAGAAGAGGGTGGAGAGGTACAATACATGTATAGTTAGCAAATACTGTGTGAGGACATAGCTTCTCTATGTACATCATCTACAGCAAACTACTAACTCCAAAACTACAGGCACATGTTACAAAGATGTATGCATGTCAACTACTCTAGTGCCATTAAATAAATATGGGTATTGTACAGATGAAAGAGCTATAAAAACTTTGTTTTGCTACCAAATCCTGTAATTCATCTGCCCATCATAGGTCGTTTTGCATCAAAGGAAATAATAGTACAACGTTTATGAATAGGAAAGAGGGGAGGAAGGTGACGGTGACAGTGCAACTCTTGGCAGCGGCTGCTGTTAACCCCCGCAGCACTAGAAGATCAGTGCTGTAAGGGCTACCTTATGCCAACCACTTATATCCTGGCCCTGACTTCTCGTCTCTAATCCGCAATTCCCCCTTGCAAGACCCTGGTGTCCAAAGAACTCTCACATTTCTTCCCCACGTGTACTGGTGGCCTATTATCCAAAAGTATGTAGAGAACTACAAAAAGACCTGTGCAATTTGTGCCCAAGCCAATTCAACAACCCAGACACCTGCAGGCCCTCTTCCACCGCTAGTAAAGCATGGCACCATCTTTTTACAGACCTCCCGGCACCCAATGGCTGTACAATCATTTTCGTAGTAGACCTCTTTTTGAAGATTACACATTTTATACCCTTTTCTGGGAAAGTCTGGGAAATCTTCAGACTTTTTGGCACGACTGCTGGCAATTTCCGATTTCATCCAAAAATCCAGACAGATCAACCAGTCTCCAGTAAACCCAGCACTCCCGTGACTCTAGAGACCCTCAGTGCCTTCAGTGACCCCAGAGCTTCTTTGTCTCCAGTGATCCTTGAGCTCCGGTGTCAACCAGTGACCTCTGCGCTTCCTGTGCCACACAGTGACCCAAAAGTATTCTGTCTCATGCATTGACCTCAGAGTATCCTGTGTCATACTGTGCCTCTTATGTGCCTTGAGGGACACTGTGACACCCATGTCTCCATGTAGCCCCAGGCCCCGTTCACACTGAGCGGTTTATCTTGCGGATTTACGCTGCAAAAACGCGCATATTTCCGCGTGATATCGCTTGGTGTATTGCAAGTCCAATGCATGTCAATGGAGCTGTTACCATTTACAGCTCCAGTCGCCTGTAGCTCGTCGCTTGTGCAGGACCCTTTTTTGGCGCGAATGTTGCGCGATTGTACTCAGCCCAACATGACAAACCCGCAATTTGCAATATCGCAAGTGTGAATGGGGTGTTAGGTACTCTCTCTCTCTCTCTGTGGGTGTGGACCCCTCACCATGACACATGATCGCTGGCTACCAAGTGAATTGTGGGTGCTTGACATTATTAGAGACATTATTAAAGACTGCAAAGAGTCTATTGCTTTAAAATTGGACACATCTTATCAGTTACATTAGAATATTACCCCCAAATCCTTCTCCATTTCCGCTAGGGAAGTCAGAAATAGAGAAGGATTTGGGGGTCATTGTAGACCACAAACTGAAAGGTAGTTTGCAGTGCCAGGCTGCTGTAAACAAAGCTAGCAGGGTTTTGTCCTGTATTAAAAAGGGGATGTATTGCAGGGACAAGTCTATAATTTTGCCACTTTATAGATCATTGGTTCGACCTCATCTGGAGTACGCGGTCCAGTTCTGGTCACCAGTACTAAGAAAAGATGTCCTTGAGTTGGAAAAAGTCCAGCGGAGGGCAACCAAACTAATTAGGGGTATGGAGGACCAGAGCTACGAGACAAGACTACTAAATTTAAACATGTTCACATTGGAGGTGAGGAGATTAAGGGGGGATATGATCTCCATGTACAAAATGTTCAATGGTGGCAGCAACATTAGCGATAAACTGTTTAAAATTAACTCCATTACAAAAACTAGAGGCCATCACCTAAAATTGGTGGAAAAAAAATTCCAGCACAATGGGCGAAGGGGGTTCTTCACAGTAAGATCAGTTAGGGTCTGGAACTCACTGCCACAGGCGGTGATTTCAGCAAATAATGTGGAATTGTTCAAGAAACTTTTGGACGATTTCTTAAGGGACCGTAATATACAGGGGTACGGGTACTCCTAGAATGAGATCCTAATAGGTTGGACTTGATGGACTAATGTCTTATTTCAACCTCAAATACTATGTAATAACTATGTAATATTAGGAAGAGTAAACATGTGCTAATGTAATGAGCAAAAATAACTATAATTACAAGCAATAAATAAAAATGCTTAAAACATTAAAATGCTTTAAAAGATTATTTAAAGCATGTGTGCCATGTAAATTAAACCACCCAAACATATTTGCCTGGAAAATGTACACTGAGTGGCCAGATTATTATGACCACCCCATCAGTACTTCGTTGGGCCACGAGATGACTCCACGAGATGACTTCGTTGTGCCGCCTCGTGACTCCACGAGATGTTGAAAGGTGATGTGAGGAATCTGACACTGCACTGTTACCCTTCTGTTGTCTTGTACCAGTCTTGCCACTCTCCGTTCTGCCCTAACATTGGCTAGTCGCTGACGGCCACAATTCGCACGTTCAGACCCAGATTTTCGGCTGACAGTCCAGTCTTTAAACACTTTAACAACAGCTGCTCTTGAACATTTAACGAATTCTGCTGTTTTGCTGATACTCGCTCCATGTATATATATATACATATACATATATACACACATTAGGTACATATTTTCAATTGGTTGGTAACACAAATTGCTAATCAGCCAAACAGATGGCAGCAACTCAATGCATTAAGGCATCTAGACGTGGTGAAGACTACTTGCTGAAGTTCAAACCAAGCATCAGAATGGGGAAGAAAGGGTATTTAAGTGACTTTGAACATGGCATGGTTGTTGGTGCCAGACCGTCTAGTCTGAGTATTTCAGCAACTGCTGATCTACTGGGATTTTCATACACAACCATCTCTAGGGCTTAAAGAGAATGGTCCAAAAGAGAGAAAATATCCAGTGAGCGGCAGTTGTGTGGACAAAAATGCCTTGTTGATGCCGGAGGATAGAAAGGCAACAGTAACTCAAATACCCACTCGTTACATCCGAGGTATGCAGAATACCATCTCTGAACGCACAACACGTCGAACCTTAAATCAGATGGGCTACAGCAGCAGAAGACGACACCGAGTGCCACTCCTGTCAGCTAAGAAGAGGAAACGGAGGCTACAATGCGCACAGGCTCACCAAAAGTGGACAATACCAGATTGGAAAAACGTTGCCTGGTCTGATGAGTCTCGGTTTCAGCTGCGACATTCAGAATTTGGCATAAACAACATGAAAGCATGGATCCATCCTGCCTTGTATCAGCGGTTCAGGTTGGTGGTGATGTAATGGTGTGGGGAATATTTTCTTAGCACACTTTGGGCCCCTTAGTACCAATTGACCATTGTTTAACTGCCACAGCCTACCTGAGTATTGTTGCTGACCATGTCCATCCCTTTATGAATACAGTGTACCTATCTTCTGATGGCTACTTCCAGCAGGATAATGCACCATGTCACAAAGCTCACATCATCTCAAACTGGTTTCTTGAACATGACAATGAGTTCACTGTACTCCAATGGCCTCCACAGTCACCAGATCTCAATCCAATAGAGCACCTTGGGGATGTGGTGGAACGGGAGATTCACATCATGGATGTGCAGATGACAAATCTACAGCAACGGCGTGATGCTATCATGTCAATATGGACCAAAATCTCTAAAGAATGTTTCCAACACCTTGTTGAATCAATGCCATGAAGAATTAAGGCAGTTCTGAAGGCAAAAGCGGGTCCAACCCGGTACTAGCAAGGTGTACCTAATAACGTGGCCAGTGAGTGTATATATACAGTATATGTACTGTACACACACATGTATACTGTACTAATACCTCAACATCTCTTGCATAGCAGTGACAATCAGACAGATAATAGGAGTGCCTGCCCTGACTACTGAATTATGAAGGCAGGGTGAGGCAGGTATTTAAACAAGGCACAGAAGGTCAGCAAGAGTTCACTGATCCCAAGGAAGCATTGAGACTCTCTAAATACATGTAGCGTTTGACTATTTGAGTCATTTGGGACAGAAAATGGGAGAGGAAAGTCATAGATGAATAATAATATTAAAAGAAATAATAAAAAAATAAAAAGATAAAGGTAAATAGTGAACATTATAGCCACTGGAAAGCAGATACTTTGAAATTGACTGACACATTTGAAATGGAGGTATGAACTATTATAATATGGGCCAGTATGACAAATGTTAAAACTATATAGTACATTTTTTATATTGTACCTCAACTACGGTAAGTATAAATCCTTTCCACTCTTCTGCATCTTCAGCTATTTCCGTCTGCAAGTTAATTAAAGCAAATAGAAAATGGATTTTAATTAGTACTGTGGACATATTGTCATTTTGTTTAGCATTATGGACATATTTTCTTCACCTCACAGCTGTGTTTAGAGACTATCTAATGTCTCCATTTAATAGTGGTAGTCATTCTATCACTGACACCTACTTGCTTAGAGAGCACTTACCTGCTTCTCCTATATCACTTCTTCACTAGAGATAATCACAATTCTGCATTTATAAAGGGTTGTATTCTTTAGGACTACCGGAAGTCCCGTTCAGGAAGCCAGGTGGCGTGTAATGACTCGCCACCTGGCTTCCTGATTAGCCGGGAAGTGGGGCGGCGTGTAAAGACTCGCCACCCGGCTTCCCAATTAGCAGGGAAGCCGGTTTTCTGGCCAATGAGGAAGCCGAGCGCCGTGTAATGACGCGCCGCCCGGCTTCCTGATTGGCCAGGAAGCCGGCTTAATGCTCCCTTGTCATGTATCGGTATCGGTGCATCCCTATTTAGGACCATGTAATTCTAGTCAACCTATCACTGATGCTACTCTCTAACCGACCACTTATCTGCTCCTACAGCATCACTACAATGCAGCAAGGTGTCACTCCATTGCTGCTTCCTTAGCGGTAAGCAAAGATTGTGCAGCAATTTGGTGCAGTAGTAGCAGGTGAAAGGTCTCTTAGCAATCCTGTTTTTGGTAAGTTGCCTTCAATGGCAGGATTGCTTTATCTGGCATGGCTATTGCTAAGAACAGTAGTGGAAATGGTGATATACAGAAAAACATTAATTTCTGCAGTATATAAAATACATTTGAAGATGCATCTTGTGAAGATAATAGGTAATTGTTTAATGTAATAAACTCCCTGATATCCGGCATCCATGTTGATTGGATCATATTAGATTCCAGATAAATGTAGTTTCTGGTTGCTTGAGAACTACTATTAAAAATAGGTATAACTAATGCAATACCCAATACTACACCATATCATAACATAAGCTCTTTATTGACTTCATATTAATATTGAAATGCAGTCATCAAAAGCAAATTAAAACAAATAGACACACAATCATATCCAGGATAATACATGCTGCAGATCAGCAGAACAATGAGTACACAGGGGATTTTTTTTCTGGTTAGATGAGAGTTCTGGTTAGTTGAATACTGGATAACTGAGAGTTTACTGTAATTAAAAATTAGCCTGCTATACACTATCTATGGTACCTTTCTATCATACCATTATTATAAATGTTTCAGAGTTCATACAGAACATTTTTTAAAGTAGAAAAATATAGATAAGAATCAACTGATTTTTTATTTTTTTATTTAATATTTTAAATTGTGCCTTTTTGCGAAATGGTAAAAAACTGTGAATGTGCACTGTGCACTGTGTTGGTGTGTGTCTTATGATAAAATGATACAGGCGTACATTTAATTGCAACACAGCGTATAACAGCAAAAAGTTTCCCAGCACGCTCACCATCCAGCATGCAAAAAAAAACCTGTCTAACCACTAAGGCAACGATTTAGTATAACAACGCACGGCTATGCGTCACAATGCTTTGCCATGTGCTGCCACAGTTACATTAATGTTTTTTTTAAAAAGAAAAAAAATTAAGCACTGTCAGCCTCAGATGACAGCTATTAATTTAAAGGGGACCATGAGCTTATAGCAGAACAGTAAAAGCCACCGACATATGGCTTACTGACATGGCCAGCTGGACACAGTTGTGTTCTGCCATATGCCATAGATCGGTGGCAGGGAAAGGGTTAATGTATTTTCAGAAAAGCGTATATTAAGACTTACTATTACAGTCCAAGAATACTTGAAGGAGGTCAAGGCAGCACCTGAAATGCAAATTGAGCCAGCTCTGACCACTGCTCTAGTCTGCACACCCAGTAATAATACATGGGATTGTTACCAGTGGCCCCAGCATAAGGCTTTCATTTAGTTTTGTAAAGAACTGCACAAACTGTTGGCGCTATATAAATCCTGTATTATAATAATAATAATTATTATTATTATTGTTATAATTAATTTATAGTCATTCTGGGACTGCTATTAGAAAACAAAAATATTGTGTAAGTAAAATGTAGGGTTTTGTTGCTGATTCTACTGGCACTGATGTGGTTTCCAGTGCTGATGGTGGTGATGAAGCAGCAATGAGAACTGAGCCTGGGCTTGGAGCTGTCAGTGTCAATAATCTTAATAAAGTATGTGTGATTCACATGTCATTGTCCACATGTTTAGTCATACCATTTGTACTACAGCTTGTGATTTAAGAATGAAAAGAATAATAATGCCATTATTTTTGTTCACTAAGCAGAAACAAAAATCATTCTTTTCAGTATGAGTCAGTAAACAATATGTATTTATTTGCCAAATATATCATCTCTGATTATGTAACTCAACTCACCTTTATGATTACTTCCTCCTTGTCCAAGGTCAATACAACTTCTGACCATTGTTTCTGATTGGAATGTCCGTCATTTACAGATTTCAAATTCCTCAATTCAATGCTGTCTATGTACTATCAAAGCAAGTAATAATGTTACATACTGTACACAACATGTTAAACTTTCATGTTAATTCCCTCAGCAGTCAAAGAAAGATTAGAGAAACACTAGTATCCCAAAAAATGTATTTACTGTATTTGGGTATGCCCATGTGCGCTATTCCATTTTTAATACAGTTTACATGGATCAGAGTGGTTGCTATGATTGCTTTTTTTGGATTGGTGCAAACACATTGCGGGGGATTTATCAAAACTGGAGCAGACAAAATCTGGAGCAGCTGTGCATGGCAACCAATCATTTTCTCTTTCATTTTCAAATCTTAACTAAAGAAACTGAAGAGACAAGCTGATTGGTTGCCATGGGCAACTGATCCAGCCTCTGTCTGCTTCAGTTTTGATAAATTCCCCCCTATGTCTACTGCCTGGGGTCTTCAGCAATGTTGGCCTTCTGGTGTGTTGCTTCTTTAAGGAGGAAGAGGCTACCTCTAACTAAGCCTGCTCTCAATGTATGCATCTATTTTTAACCTGAGTAGGTAAAATAGTTTAGTTAGTGTTGTTTTGTTTTTTTTGGGGGGAAGTATGCTGGAGAACTTTCATATTGTTTTGTATATTGCCCAACCAATGTGTACTTTTCCAAACTAATCAGCCATTGTTGCTTTTTTGGATTTGGCACAGGCACACAATGGGGATCTTCAGATGCCCTGAGTAAGTCTGGACATCTGGTGCCTTCCTGTAATATTTAAAGCATATCTATATCCAAGAACAAAAATGTAATATACGTTGCTGCTTAGAAGTCTTTAGACATGGTGGCTACATTAGTTTTCTTTTTTAAGCCTAGGTAAACTTTCAGCAAGCACAGAAAAATACCTGTTGATTTTGTCAGTCCTGTGGATGGAACTGAAATATTAAACAATGTTATCATCTTTCTCAGCTAGCTTTAGAGAACTACAAAGAAAAGACCCTCTATGTAATAGAGATGGAGGGTGTTTGTAGTCCAAATCAGGATAGAAGCTGTTCCTCCATTGGTACAGAACGGTGAGTGAGCGTGGCCACCTTAGGACAGGAAGTGTGTTATTGGCAGGATCGCAAGGTGAAAAAGCCTGAAAACAAATACCGCCACAACATCTAAGAACTGGTAAGTTGAAATATATTACAGTTCTTTTGGATTCAGATATGCTTTAGGCCTCATTCACACACCATCCAGTTTGGCCATAAAGATCCGTGCGGCATACACGGCCTTATCGAGCCATTCCCGGGAGGGACAGGTGCTGTGTTTTTAATTGCGTTTCAATGCTGAAACACAATTAAAAATGCCCCAAAACCCTTTTAAAATACGCGTGGAAACCACGCTGATCTGCAACCGCCCTGGTGTGAATGGGGCCTAAACGCACACAAACGCATCAATTAATGCATCTAGAAGCATTAACACAGCATCTAACCTGACAGTGGCAAGTGTGAATGTAGACTAAAGCTGGCCATACACCTATAGATTTTCTTCCATCAGCCTATAGTCAGATGGAAAAAGTGTGACTAGCAAGATACTGAAGCTTTCCCCAGCAGGAGATTCCTCCATCCACACAGTTTAGTGTAGATGGAGGAATCTGTTTTCCATCTGACCATGGAACATCTGCAGATAATCTGTAGGTGTATGGCCAGCTTTAGGCAGTCTCTACTTTGACTCCAGGCTGTCCGGAGGGAGTTTCCTGCTTCCCAATCTATTTAGCTGACTAGAGTAGTGACATCAGAATCAGACATCATCTGTAGAGGCAATGTGGCACCATAGGGAGATGGAAACTAAAGCATGCTGCTAGGCCAGAGTTCTAGAGTAGATGTAAGTGGAGGTGAGGGGGCTCTATTTTTTTCCACTGCATATTGTAAGGATTGCCCGTCTGTTGCCCACATATTGTGATGGTTACCTTCTTACAGCAACAAGGCCTTGTTGTCTTTGCATTGCCACAACTAAACATTTTTGGCCCAGAATTTGTCAGGACTGATCATTCAAAGTACTGTTAGTTTACAGTAAAACATTACTGTAAACCAAGCCCCTAAAAAAAACAGTTTGTGTTCTCAGTTCCCCCCCATTCCCAGCTTCACACACATTCATAAAAAGATCAGCAGGCTCATGAGGTTCCCAGGTATGATAATAAGGCAGGGACTGCTTCCATTATGCACCATATTTGTCATAAGCATGCGGGTTCAGGATTACTAGCTTACAGCCTGTGCTAAAATGGGGCAGCTGAGTAACAGTTTGGGTGTTAAATAATTTTTTGACATTAAAGGGGAACTATGGGTAGAGTGAAATACACTCATACCCATACTTAGAGCTGAGGTATGACACTGCAGCTGTCACATGCCGGCTCTATAAATCGATAACTGAGTGATCACAAACTGCTGATCGCTCAGTTCACAATCTCCTTCCTGCAGAGAACAGTGACTGTTAGGGCTTTTTTACACTAAATCCAGTGCGTTCCAGCACGGTTAGTGGTAGGAACGCACTGGACTGCATAGAGCAAGCCTCCCTGCATTCTCTGGCGGGAAGGGGCCCAGTGCTGCATTCAAGTTAATGACACCGCAGCCACGCCTTCCGCCCCGCTGTGCGATCGCCCGCACCAAAACCCATGCCCACGCACCACAACAATGCCCAATGTGTGGTGTGTTCACAAAAAACAGTGCAGGCCCTTAGTCACTGCTTCCCACAGGGATTCCCCCTCCCCTCTCTATTCCTCCAGCACTGACTGGAGGGACAGGCACAGTTGGTTCTGCTTCTAGAGAGGCAGAACAAGCTGTCAGTCAGGTAACGGGGTGCATCCTGACAAGATCTTTTCTGGCCACAGTGTGACTCTGCACTGTCAGTATACAGCAGGCAATAGCCTGCTATATGCTGAGTTTTGGGTCACAGGAGGACATTAGTATATGTCTGCTTGTGACCCAAAATAGAACTACGGCCAAACAAAAGGTCCTTTTTAATACAACAAAGATTGTTGAACACAAAAGGAAACCCTTACTCTGAGCAATATTATGCCAGTTGCTTTTCTCTCTCTGGCTTCAATACTTCATGTGTGTCCGACCTGAAAGCAGCCAGTAAAGTCAAACTGGAGTCAGGACGTCCAACGTGCATATTTGTTCCATGACATGAAAGCCATTGAATGCGAATGACAGCCCAGCATCTAGCAATTTCAATAGAAGAATTCAACAATGGTGCCCTACCCTTCATGTATTTCTCAGTACAGATAAAAGCTAGCAATGCAGTGTTTTTTTCAACACCTTGGTCAGGATTGCCAGCTCATTCTTTTAATGATTAACATTCATTACATATGTCATGTTGCTGATAAAATGCTTCCAGTGTTTTAAGTGGTGTTAAATGAGAACTATAGGGTCAAAGCTTTTCCCCATAGTTCTCCTAAGGGTAACGGGAGGACACAAACTAGCGTCCTCCCGTCACCCAAAGCTCAGTATACTGTGAGCTACGCAGCTCACGGTATACTGAGATGCCGCAGCCGGGACGGATCCCGATACTCACTCATAGTTCTCCTTTAAACTCTACCATGCAATGGAGGTGAATATCTGTTTTGTACCTGATTACAACACTATAAAGGGGAGAGTGCTTTTCACATCAGACTTTCTAACAGGAAAGTCGCAAAAGTTATAGGTACCCTTGAGGTAGTAAATTGGTAGCAATCTGCAGTATTACAATTGTCAGGAAACCTTCCCCTTCACTGCATCTATTTATTGTATTAGCACCATAGTTATAGTAAAATAACAAGAACCAGCCAATTGTATGAGCAAAAATTGAAACATAACAGATTTTTTACCTTTTCTTGTTTTTTATCGTTATAAAGGAAAAGTTTTGTTCCTCGTAACTCGGTCCAGTACTTTGCTTCCTGTGGATACAAGAGTATTTTATTAATTCAATCAAAAAAATCAAACAAGAATATATCTGCAAAATTCTAGCTTAAACAGGAATGTGTCAGGCTTCTAAGTAGGTGGCCCCAGGCTCTTATGAGATAAAGGAAACCTCTACTGACCGAAATATGGAGGCTACTATTGCTAATTGCTTGACTGCCATGCAGGCCATCCTGCTTTAATACTCTAAGGTAGTGGTTCTCAACCTTTCTAGGGCCGGGACCCCTTGGTAACATTTGCCAAGCTGTGGTGACCCCAGTGGTAAAATGTAGAGAAGCACCAATACTAGTATACAGTATGTGAGGGCTCTTAGGAGGCTGTGCGGGTTCTCAGGTGGGCTGTGTGGGCTCTCAGGTGGCCAGTGGGGCTCACAGGTGGTCAATGGGGCTCTCTGGTGCAGCCAGTGCAGGCTCTCTGGTGGTTAGTGTGGCCAGTGCCGGCTTTCTGGTAGTCAGTGCAGGCTCTTTGGTAGTCACTGCGGGCTCTCTGGTGGTCAGTATGGGATCTCTGGTGGTCAGTGTGGGTTCTCTGGTGGTCAGTGTGGGCTCTCTGGTGGTCAGTGCGGGTTCTCTGGTGGTCAGTGAGGCTCTTTGGTGGCCAATGCGAGCTCTCTGGTGGTCAGTGTGGGCTCTCTGGTTCTCAGTGCAGGCTCTCTGGTGGTCAGTGCAGTCTCTGGTGGTTAGTGCGGACTCTCTGGTAGTTAGTGTGGGCTCTCTGGTGGTCAGTGCGAGCTTTCTGGTGGTCAATGAGGGCTCTTTGGTGATTAGTGCTGCTCTCTGGTGGCCAGTGCAGACTCTCTGGTGGCCTCTACTCCCGGCCACTACACACGGCCAGGTTACCCAGGATCAAAGTGTCATGTAGTGTGCTGTATGTACACACATAGCTTTAGTGTACCATTCTTCTACAAGAGAGCCGACACTTACCTCCCTTCACTGTTATGCCTGCTTCCCTCTCCTCTCTCTGATCCTCCCCGGCTGCTGCAGCACCATCTAGTGGTGCGGCCGGAGAACTGACACTGCTGGGCTAGGAGAAGGCTGAGAAGCCTCTCATTTAGCGCAGCACAATGCACATGGTGACCCCCTCAACTGTGGGTCGAGACCCACAGGCTAAGAACCACCGCTCTAAGCTCTCTTTTACACTGTGCGATCGAGAGGGGATCTGTGCACAGATCCCCCTACTGATCAGAGCAGTATAGATAGGATGTCACTGCTGTGACATCGTGTCTGACCAGTTTTTTCCTCCATCTTGCGATCATGGCCCAGTCATCTAGCCATCACAATTTGGCCCTTCTCAAAGTCACTCAATCCTTACGCTTGTGATGGAGGTAAAAAACGAAATTACAAGACCCCATGTCGGTCTATGGGGAATTGAATGTAAACAGACATGTGCACGTTTAAATCATATTACCCACAATCCAGCATGATCAGGTCTTGCGAAACAGAACACTGTTCCGTTTGTTTTTCCGGACCTGGTCGGAGCTGGGTGCAACCGGATGTAAATGGACACAAATACGTTTATATCCAGCTGCCCATAGACCTTCATTGGGCATCCAATTGGGTCTGCCCAAGTCAGCATTTTTCTAATTTTTTTCAGGCACGGCACTCTTTAAAAGTATGCAAAATCCTGAGGTCTAAAATGTTTAAAAAAAACGTAAATGTGACAATGTAACTGCGACAAGTTGCTCCTCCAAAATCCATTTCAGACCCTTTTCTCGAATAGGTGTCTCATATGGATTTTAAGGTAGGACCCCCAGGCAAAAACACACACATAAAATGGGCTTCCCCTTTTACATCGGATTGCCCCTTTCACATGAGAGTCCCCCATTAGATCAGGAGCATCCCTTTACATTAGGAACCCCCTTCTTTCACATCAAAAGCCACCCATTCATATCAGGAGCGCTATAAGCCCCACCTTCACATCAGGTGCCCCCTTTGACATCACAAGCCTGCCTGCACTATAAAAAGGCATGACACTTTGTGAAAATTTTGAGCCACCCCTAAGGAAATCAGAAAGTACCCCATGGTGCTATGGTTGCACCATGCACCTGGTGGAGAAAGGCTATTCTAAAGGTGGCCATACACATACACCCTACCTTAGTCTTGCGATGGTTGTAAAGTAATTTAAAAAACGTACCATCTGCCCATCTTGGACAGGCAGATCGTACTTGCGATCATCGCAAGCCGGCCCCCGAGGGGCAGGCATCTGATGACCGCAATGCTAAACGGGCAGTGTGCGCGTGCGCACACCGGCCCGTGCGGCATTGATCTTACGATCATGCTAAAAACCAGCCGAAAATCGTACGATTCTCGGCTGGTTTTCTAGCATGCTCCTTAGACAAAAGACGTGCGACCGTACAGTAGAAACGCACGTCTTCATTCACACTGCACGATCCTCGTACGATCGCGGGATTTCCCGCGATTTTCGTACGAGAATTGTGCAGTGTATGGGCATCTTTACTAACCCAGAGCATGTATGAAGATGAAGTCTTATGACTTTACTCTGAATTCCCCATATTGAAGTGCGGCTAGAACCACCTACATGAACAATCCCATATATTCCTATGGGGACCGTTCATGCAAGCGTGAGTCTCCATGCGATCCGCCTAAAATGCTCCCTGAGCTACTTTTGTCACCCTGATCAGCCCATTTTACATATAGTATTCAATGAAAATGTGCTGATCAGCGTGTTTTTGGGCATATTTAATTGCGGTTCATTGCTGAAAAACGCCCAAAAACAGGCTGCTGTGTGCCATCATACGCTGCACCTGTCCCTCCCGGGAACGGCCCAATACAGGTGTGCAGGCTGCACGGACGTGTACAGCCCAAGTTAGCGCAGTGTGAATGAGGCCATAGAAGCATGATTTGTATATACCGGTACTCTGTTTAAGTCATCAGCACATCATGCTTCTATTTGCATGAAGCAATCCAAAAAGTAAAAAGTACATTTTTTTAACCACTTGAAGACCGAGGTGTTATACTGGTCGGGCCATTTTTCAGTGTTCAGTGCTGCAGTACTTTGACTGACATTTATTTCGCCATGCAACGCTGTACTGAAATTAATTTTATATCATTTTTTGGGGACAGATAGAGTGTTTGCATTTATATGTGCAAATATGTGGAGACTTGAAAAGAAAATTGTGATTTGTTTAAACTTGCTTTTTTTTTTTTTACACGTAACTTTACTGTTTTCACATAGGGGACTAAAAAAAAAACCCCTATGTGGCAGCACAAACAGTGAGAGGTCCTCTTTATGGAGACATCAGGGGACTCTCAGACCCCTAATGTCACCTAGGGACCCCTAAAGAAGCTGATGAAGCAGCGATTGTGCTTCTTCAGTGTCTTCTCTGGCTACAGCAGCTGGAGAGATGACAGGCTGAAAGTATAAGTGATGTAATACACGCCACTTTCGCATTCAGTGATCAGAGGCGAGATCAGCCGCTGGAATGTGCGGATCTCCCCTCTGATCTAGCCACAGAGACCCGCGTGCCACTCCTGGGCACGCACGGAGGACAGTAGAGCATGGGATAACTGGAATCGGCGATGGAGGGAGGTGCACACTTACAAGCGATTGGGCAGGTCTATAGCCACCCGAATGCTTGCGTGTATCAAAGGCTTGACTTTTTCATATTTTCCCGCTCCCGAGAAGGGGGTGTGCGAGCGGGAGCATCAAAGGATGTTTCCAGACACCCACCTGCCCTTATGCGTCTGCTGTCCGGACATTTATTTGCATTGGCCGACAGTAACCAGTTAAATGAATTTTGTTACTATTAAGCCCCTTGTAAACGCTTAGATCGCCCAAATTAACTCCTTCTTACCCTTAACTATTATCTTCCTGCTGATTGGATTGCATAAACCTGTGCATGGGTAAAGCTGGACCATCTGGATGAAGACTAACCAACTACACCCATTCACAACTATTTGAGAGATTTGGCTTCTAATGAGGGACAGTCCCTCCAAATGAGGCACAATAGGGAGCTATTACTTTTGAGCGTTTTTTTAAATCATAGACATGATAAATATGAATTTTATTATAAGCTATAATAGACTGGCGTGACTCTGTTCACTGTAAGTAGGGCTGGCCGCCATATCAGAGAACATACATTGTCAGCATACTTCACCACGTGACGGACGTTTACCGCCTTTCTGATCTCGACTGCAGAGCGAGCGGGGTTGGTTAGTAGAGTCTGCATAGTGCGCGGGAAGTCAGGGGGGTGGGCGGAGCTGGGAAGATAGTTTGCGGAGTGTGAGGGAACGCAAGAGAGTGGACGGAGCGAACGCTGAAGAGTGGGCGGAGCCAGGCAGAGGGGCTGCAGAGTTTAAAGGCACGCTGGAGAGTGGGCAGAGCTAACGAGAGTCTAGACTAGGTCTTGCACTAGGATAGGGTGTGAAGACACGCTGCGCGGAGGAAGGCGTCGTGGTTTTGGCCGCTTCTTTTTCTTTCGACTGCAGTCTGCCGCGGAGGAGAGTAAGTAGAACTAAACTGGTTTTAAGGGTGACTGAGAGAAGCCATGATTGTTATTATACCAATAAAGAAAAAGTAAGGGTGAGGAAGCGTTTCATGGTTTATTTTTTTCTGTGTCGCTGATAAGGTATTGGAGCTTGGTATGTTATCAGGGGTACATCGTGCTGGTTACGTATGTTTTTTTTAAATACTTGCAAAGCCTATTGTAATTGAATATTGCAGTGTACGTTGATAAAACATGTGCCCAATATGGCGCCAAAGAGCCACGTGTGGCTTTTAGCTATTCTTCAAGTGGATCCCAGTCGTCTCAAAGAGGAAAAGGATTCCTAAAAAGCTGCCAGGACATAGATAGACTTAGCATGTCTCTTCTGCTAAAATCCAAGTCCTTTTTATATGTTATTAACCCTTACAGTCGGGCTATTCCCACACTGCAAAGGTTAACTTCATGTTTTTGCCTGGGGCAGGGTTAGTGAATTCAAATTCAAGTAGGTCCGGTGACCAAAATTTTCATTGAGCC